AGTTAGAGATTTACTTTCAATAGTATTTTAAGGTTTTCATATATAAATCTTGACTGCATTTTTAAATATGTTCTTAATATGCTCATCAAAGTTCATGTTTTATAGTATTTTACATAACATTTTGTTTCTACTTTGAAATTTTAATTGCTATTATAGAAATCCATTTGATATTTTGTGTTGAAATTCTAAACCTGCGACCTTGTTTAGTTAGTTGCTTAGGTCTATTTTATTTTTTGTAGAGCCCTTCAAAATTTTTACCTATATAGGGATGTTATCTGTCCATAAATATATTTGCAAGATCTTGCTCTTCTCTACCCATCCATGTGTCTTTTATTTTTCTTAATTTGTTGCAATGGCTGGAGTCTTATAATGTAGAACAGAATTTGGAAAGTAGAGACTTGTTTCTAATCTTGAGAGAGAATTCATCCTTAAGTATGAGGGTGGCTATAGTTTTTATACCAATGCCTTTTTTATCAGGTTGAGTAAACACTTTTCCTTTTTTTATTTAGTAGTAACTATCTCGTGGAATATATATTCATAAATATTTTCATTCATAAATACAAATAGAAGTGAATTAATTTGCATGCATCTATTGAAAAGATCACAAAAAGTCACAACTTAGCAACTGGACAACAGCAACATCTGAAATGATGTTATTATCCTCTTTTATTCTGTTAATTTTGTGAATATAATTGATTATGTTTTTCACTTCTAACAATATTTTATTCTTGGTATAACTAAATATGGCCATGATGATTCATTTACTTTAATTTGTTTAATACCAAAGTTAATGGAAGGAAAGTTATCATAAAGATCAGAGAAAAACAATAAATGAAAAGAAAATGAATAAGACAATAGCGAGGACCAACATCTTATCACTATTTTACATTCCCATCAGCAGTGTTTCTAGCTTTCACTTTCTTGATAATGTCCCTTGATGCACAAGAGTTTTTAATTTGGTGGAATCTAGTTCTTCTTTTTCCTTGTGCTATTTGTGCTTTTGTTGCTATCTTTAAGAAACCATTGGCTTATCCAAGGTTATGAATATTTCTCTCTAATAAGAATTTTGTAGTTTTAGATGTGCATCTGATCCTTGATCTCTTTTGAGTTAGTATTCTTATATGGTGTGAGGTAGGGTTCTGAATCCATTTTTTTTTTTTTTTTTTCATTTTGATAAAGAAGTTTTTCAGCACTACTTGTATATATACTATTTAATGCCTATGGAATGTTGTTTGCAACCTTGTGAAAAAAAAATTGCCAGTAGATATAAAAGTTATTTCTGGACATTTATTTATATTCTTTTAATCTTTGTCACCTCATTCTAATACATTGTTTTAATTACTGTAGCTTTAAGTAAGTTCAGTGAGAAGTGTGAGTCCTCCAAATTTGTTCTTAATAAAGAACATTTCAAAACTATTTCAAGACTCTTTAGCTATTTAGGATCTCTTGGAGTGCCTTATGAATTTTAGGATCAATGTTTTCTTTCTGGAAAAAAAAANCTGTTTTCTCATTGTTAGTGTATAGGAATGCAAGAGATTTCTGTGTGTTAATTTTATATCCTGCAACTTGACTGTATTCGTTGATTAGCTCTAGCAATTTTCTGGTAGAGTCTTTAGTGGCTTTCATTTTCTTGATAGTGTCCCTTGATGCACAAGAGTTTTTAATTTTGATGGAATCTAATTCTTCTATTTTCCTTGTGCTATTTGTGCTTTTGTTGCTATATTTAAGAAACCATTGCCTTATTCAAGGTTATGAATATTTTTCCCTAATAAGAATTTTGTATTTTTAGATGTGCATCTGATCCTTGATCTCTTTTGAGTTAGTATTCATATATGGTGTGAGGTAGAGATCTGAATCCATTTTTTTTCCTTTTCATTTTGATACAGAAGTTATACATACATACATATATGTGTGTATATACACACTATTCAATGCCTATGGAATGTTGTTCTCAACCTTGTGAAAAAACACTTGCCAGTAGATATAAGGGTTATTTCTGGACCTTTATTTCTATTCTTTTGATCGTTGTCACCTCATTCTAATACATTGTTTTAATTACTGTAGCTTTAAGTAAGTTCAGTGAGAAGTGTGAGTCCTCCCAATTTGTTCTTAATAAAGAACATTTCAAAACTATTTCAAGACTCTTTAGCTATTTAGGATTTCTTGGAGTGCCTTATGAATTTTAGGACCAATGTTTTCTTTCTGGAAAAAAATAATACTATTAGTATCTCGATGGAAATTATATTGAGTCTACAGATCACTGTGAGGAATTATGTTATCTTAATTATACTAATAGTTTAATCCATGAATGTGAGATATGTTTCTGTTTATAAGACTTTTAAAATTTCCTTAGAGTAACCTTTTATAGGTTTCAATATAAAGGACAGCTATGGAAGGCAGATAGAGAAACCTTCTCTCTGAAAGTAACTATTGCTTCCCCAGGAACTCTTTCCTTGGGAACAAGGAAATGACTTAACGTTTTCCTTAAAGGAAGCAAGGACCTTGGAGACCCCTGTTTGACCAGATCACTATCCGAACTCTTGTCACTGAAAACCTCAAGATCCATACATGGACCTTCCTTCACACACACAGGATCTTCTGATTAAATTTCTAAGCACTGTCACCGTTTTTATTTTTTGTTTGTTTGTTTGTTTGTTTTTTGGTTCCCAAATCATTTAACTGCATTTGATCATTTGCTTTCAATAATTGTGTGTAATTCTGAACCCCCAAATTATAATTTCCATGATACATTTGTGATACAGGATATATACAAATAACTTTTCTACAGTTATTCCTAAATCTTAAAGATCGGAATGCCACCATATGTTTTACTTAGTTGTTTTTTTTTTTTTTTCAAAAGCTGAAAAAAATATATGTATTATTGTATTTAGACTTTCTTGAAAGTGGCTTTTTTGATTACAATTTGTTATTTTTCAAGTTGCTTCTTATTCTTCATGCAATATGCTTTCCTTACTCTCTCAATTCTTTCAAATAAACCTACTTATAATTGAATTCAGCTCATATAATTGAATCTATCTTGAAAGTTTTACTTTGGAAGTTTCAGGCCCAATGCAAGTAACCTGTTCGTGTATTGAAAGTGTTAATCACTCAGTTGTGTCCAACTCTTTGTGACTGCATGGACTGTAGGCCACCAGACTCCTGTGGCACCTTCATTCCAGTTCAGTTCAGTCGCTCAGTCGTGTCTGACTCGTTGCGACCCCATGAATCGCAGCACGCTAGGCCTCCCTTTCCATCACCAACTCCCGGAGTTTACCCAAACTCATGTCCATTGAGTTGGTGATGCCATCCAGTCCTCTCATCCTCTGTCGCCTCCTTCTCCTCCTGCTGTCAATCTTTCCAAGCGCTCAAACCTGTTAAAAAGAAAAAGGGTAGGACAAGGATTATTTTCATTTTGCAGTTGAGACAAGTGAGATTTGGGTAGGTTCACTGATTCCTTCAATTCACACAGGTAGTAAGCAGCAAAGGCAGCTTGGGAACCCAGCTGTTACTTCTAATTGGCTGCTTTTTCTATTAGCCCTTCCCCAGGCGGGAAGGTCTGACTTCACTGGGGGCAGCTATCTCTGCCTGCGTAAACAAGGCAGCAGAGGTTTGCTCTTTTTAAATTTTNGCAATCTTGATTCCAGCTTGTGCTTCTTCCAGCCCAGCATTTCTCATGATGTACTCTGCATATAAGTTAAATAACCAGGGTGAAGATATACAGCCTTGATGTACTCCTTTTCCTATTTGGAACCAGTCTGTTGCTCCATGTCCAGTTCAAACTGTTGCTTCCTGACCTGCATATAGGTTTCTCAAGAGGCAGGTCAGGTGGTCTGGTACTCCCATCTCTTTCAGAATTTTCCATACTCTCCTTAATCCGACCTGTTCCTTGTGCTGATATTCTTACCCCATGTGCCTCAAACAATTGCATACATATTATAAACAACTGACCTTAGAATTTTGGGGTTTTGACCAGATTGGTTTTGCCCAATCTTCTAAACATATTCTTTCCACGTTCCTAGCCATCCAGCCAAATAGTTGGCCAAAATCCATGAATCAGGACATATTGCACATCTGACATGTCTTTTTTCCAATCAAGGTGAAAAACCAGGTGTATTGCCTGAACTTACACTAATTGGGAGGTTATCCATCTCTACTGGCCTTGAAGGATTCTTTTTTTAAAGAATGAATGGGGCTATTAGTTCTGCAGCTGTCTGCTTTGGGGTGATGCCTGCTTATCACTGCAGAACTCTTGGTATAAAAGTCACAAAACCCCCCTTCTTCTGTCCACTGATCAAAGTCAAATACATGCACATGTGCAGTCACTTCAGAATTGCCTGACTCTTTGCAACCCCATGGATCAGTGTTATATTTCTTGAGCTCAAAATTATTTGTTGTTTAATGAATGAAGGACAAAAGAAATGAATGGAATATATTTTCACTGCAATTGTTTTCTGTATAGACAGAGATACATATTTTTAAAACTGTTTTTCATAAAAAAAGTTACTGGAAATAAAAATTAATAACAGAAAAATACAACATGTACATGGGATGGACGTGTGCACACTGCTATATTTAAAATTGATAACAAACAGGGATCTACTGAATAGCACATATAACTCTGCTCAATGTTATGTGGCAGCCTGGATGGGAAGGAACTTTGGGAAAGAATTAATACATGTATATGTATGGTTATTAAGTCCTTTTGCTATTCACCTGAAACTATCACTCTAAACTATACTATAATACAAAATTAAAAGTTTAAAAATTAAAAAAATTAATTTGAAAAAGAAAAAATATGACAAATCAAACCATATTCATAAAGTAATAAATTCTTTCTAAGAGCAGAGAAGATATCAATGTAAAAGATTGTTTTTTACATGATAACATACTTTCAACTCTTTTTTTTTCTTATATAGGCAGGACTAAGACAACTTGTGGCTTCCAAAATAGACATAGATAGAATTCTTCCTAGATTCTGAAATAGATGAGAAAAAAAGTTCTTATTCTCCACTACTACTTACTTTTTTTCCTTTAGTTTACTGAATGTATTCATTTTCCTTTCTAATAATGCTTATCCAGTCAACATTTATCATAAACCAAAATTATGCTATTTGCAGAAATTATTGCTAGGAAGTCTGCAAGTATTTCATGAAGTAGAACTGTTAAGAGAATACGTTGAAATTGCTGTCTGGAATTAAAATATTCTTTTATTTAAATCATGCTCTTTTCTGATGATTTATAAACCTAAGTTGTTGACATGAAAAATACAGAATTTTTTTTGGTTTTTGCTTTTTTATGCATCATTATTTTTTATTTTTAATGTTTCTTAATGCTAAAATGGATATGGTGTAATATTGTTACTTATAATATATATTGGAGTTTATTTTTTTAAATTTTTATTTATTTATTTATTTTATTCATTTATTTTTATTAGTTGGAGGCTAATTACTTTACATCATTGCAGTGGTTTTTGTCATACATTGAAATGAATTAACCATGGATTTACATGTATTCCCCATCCCGGTCCCCCCTCCCACCTCCCTCTCCACCCGATCCCTCTGGGTCTTCCCAGTGCACCAGGCCCGAGCACTTGTCTCATGCACCCAACCTGGGCTGGTGATCTGTTTCACCCTAGATAATATACATGTTTCAATGCTGTTCTCTTGAAACATCCCACCCTNTGTAATACAGTTGCCAAAGCAATTGCCTAAATCCAATAACTTTGTTGTAGCTAATAAAATTATATAATGACTGATTTCCATGGGTGCTACTTGAAAACAAACTGTAAATGGTATTATTTTCTCAATTTGGCACATAATCTCAGAGACTAAAGCTAGCAGTAATATTAATGATAATATTGTGGGAGTGCAAGCATACTCAGTCATGTCTGACTCTTTGCAAACACATGAATTATAGTCGCTAGGCTCCTTTGTCCATGGGATTTCCCAGGCAAGAATACTCGAGTGGGTTGCCACTTCCTCCTATGGGGTATCTACATGATTCAGGGATTGAACCCATGTATTCTGCATCTCTTGCATTGGCAGGCAGATTCTTTACCATGACACCACCTGGAAAGACAGATCTCCATTTAAATCAACAATACTTCTATAAAATTGTGGGTTTTTTTTTTTAAATTTAATGAACACTTATGTGCTAATATTTTTTCTCAGACATTTGGTTATTTAATCCTTGTTACAAACCTGTCAGATGATTACTGCCATCATTTTTATACTTATTTTACACATCAGACATAGAATAATGCAGAAGATAAAGATCCTGCCCCAAATCAAGCAACAAATGAAAGGCAGATATAAGATTATTTCAGATTATACTTCTCATCTCTTTTTTACTGAAAAGTCTTATAACACATCCTTTATATTAGGCTAAAATATACAATGTTGAGTTAGTAAATTCCTTTTGACATGACTACAATAATTAGAATTGCTTAAATAGTATTTCAGAAGTAAGTATATACAAAGCAATTTCATTGACAATGAAAATACATATACATACAGACCCAGACACATATATGCACAATATAATACACTGGAATCCCAAATGTTAGTAACTATGTGGCACTGCTTTCATTGAAGGCCAAATTAGTTTTTTTTTTTCTCTCCTTCACCTCATTTTCTTCTTCCCTTAATTTCTTTACAAATCATGAACAGACTGTTCTGTAAAATGTTGAAATGATGATCCCAGTGGTGAAAAATGTTGGTTTGAGAATCAAAAAGATAATATCAGAATCTTGCCTTTCCCCATTTAAAATTCCTTAATCTTGGGTATATTTCTTGACACCTTACATTCTTGTTTCCCCTAGTATCAAGTGAGAACAATATGTCCACCTCACAGGCTCTTATGATAATTAATTGAGGAAACAAATATGAACATATTCATCACACTGCTGTGAAAACACAAAGGATCTTCACTTATTTTTATGAATTTCTATGCACCCAGAAGGTAGAAAGATTTGATATTTTGAGTAATAAAACAGAGAAACATATTTAACCATGCAATAAAATGGGGAGAAACATCTACAATATTATTATTTTTTTTAAAGAAGCCAGGAGGACGCATATCATTCATAGCAGTTGATCCTTGAAAGAATTACCTATGTGCTTGCTTGAAATAAAAAGAGGATGACTTTTGCTTTTTAAGCCATCTGTGGCTTTTTGAGTGTGGAGTGTATTAAGTTTTGTTTTCATTCTCATTATTAATTTAAATTATCAAAAGAAATGTCTCCTGGCAAAGAAGAATATCTAGGGATGGAGAGTTGGCTCGCTTAAATTTCTCAATCTCTCTGAGTCTTAAGTTTTTCATCTATCAGACTAGGTTAGTGATATTCATTAATTGTCTTTTGAGGGAATGGGTGAAGATGTAATGCTCTGTTGCTGTATTTGAAAAGTGTTATAGCATGATTAATATATATATATAAATATAAAGTAACTGCTGTTAATTAGCATTTAATACACTTACCTTCTGATCTTTAGAAGATATTAGTGATATCTGAGAGTGTTCAGAACTAATTCTATTTTAAATTGACTTCCTCTTGGGCTAAGTAACTTTTAGTTTGAAAGATATGACATAGTCATAAAGACACGAGTCAGATTACTGAGTGTCACAGTAGACATGTCATTGTTTTTATAAATCTAAATCTTTTCTTCTAGATGAAAGACTTACAAAGTTTTCACAGACAACCTGGGACTTGAATTTAGAATGGATCAATTTTGAACATTATGCAGAAATCATCTTCTATAAAATGGTTGTAGTCCCAGACACAAGAAGGAGAAAGAGTGGTGGAAATACATAAAAGTGACTCATTCCAACCTTGATGAATCTTCTCTGGAGATGTAAATGATAAAAAATTTTCACCTGTAATGCATGAATATTTAAACAGGTTTCCACAAACGTTCAAGGACCTCCTCTTGTAGATGTTATTTTCTCTCCTTGGAATTAATTATCTCCTTTGATGGAAAGGCTTTGTCTTAGAAGTGGGTATTCTTAAGAGACATGTTTGAGAAACACCCATTCTAGGTAGGGAATTGTATTCTCTGCACTGGGAACCAAAATATGTGAGTCCTCTTTCTCTCTCTGAACCTGGGTTCTAAGAAAATTGAATGTCATGTAAATACCAATGATGGCATAATTGCAGCATCATTCCAGTTAACTTATGGATTCATCTCAGACAAAAAAACTTCTATTTTTTATCAGTATTAAAACTTTTCTGAAACTGCATATTGATTACTTGAGAGTTAGAGCAATGAGGGCATAAAATTATTGGTATTTTTTTCAGAGTAATTAAATCCCAAACCCATTTTTCACATTCCTCAGAGGGCTATGGATGTAAATAGAAAGTCTAATAGGATATAAATAATTTATCTCTGGGAGCCATGTGATGGTCAGCAACGATCACTAGGCAACATTAAACATGTGGTGAGATATCTAAAGCACAGATGTTTGGAAGTTTTAGTTGCTCAGTCGGGTCTGACTCTGCAAGTCCATGGACTGTAACCCGCCAGACTCCTCTGTCCATGGAAATTTTGAGGCAAGAATACTGGAGTGGATTGTCATTTCCTTCTCCTGGGGAATCTTCCTGACACAGGGATTGAACTTGGGTCTCTTGCATTTCAGAAGGATTCTTCACCTTCTGAAGCCATGACAGAAGTCTGTGAAAGGAGGCTTAAATCAAACATAAGTATTGTTCTTACCTTCTTCTAATTCTATATTATTTTTCATTCAGTTATTCTAGAAGGCACATAGCAATAAATTCCTGTGATTTTAATTCACCTTACTTAGTGAATAATAGTGCTGAACATTTTAAAGATATATGCATAGAAATTTAGTTTTTTCCCCCATGTCTTGCTTGTTGTGAATAGTGTTGCTATGAAAATGTATGAATATATCTTTTTAAATTATAATTTTGTCCCAATATACACACATAAGTAGTGTTGCTGAATGAAAATAAATAAAATAGAGAATTTAAAAAATGGAAAAAATCAGTAAAACCAAGAGCTGTTTCTTAGAAAAGGTAAACAAAATGAAAAAAAAAAAAAGAAAGAAAAGGAAACAAACCTTCAGGCCAGATTCACCAAAAAGAGAAGGCAGAGGACACTAATAAGCAAAATAAGAAATTAGGGACTTCCCTGGTGGTCCAGTTGTTAGGAATCCACCTGCTATTGCAGGGAAGGCAGGTCTGATCCCTGATAAAAATACTAAGAGCCCACATGCCATGGAGCGACGAACACGCCACAGCTAGAGAACTCATGTGCTCTAGGGTCCACATGCCACAGATGCTGAGCCTAGAGACTGCACGCTCTGGAGTCCTAGCTCTCTAGAGCACATGCTCCTCAGTAAGAACTATGCGTGCGCCAAAGCCCCCTCACACAGTGAGAAGCCCTTGTGCTGGCACTAGAGAAGTTGCATCAGAGAAAGGCCACAAGCCACATGATGGCCAAACACAGGCCAAGAAAAAATAGTAATAAAAAGAAATGAATGAGGAGAAATAACAACCAATACCACAGAAATAAAAAAAGGAAAACAGCACACAAAAAGCATAAAATAATATTATGAACAATGATAAATGAGCAAATTGGACAAACTTGAAAAAATGGGCACATATCTAGTAAGTATTGACTTTAGATAGGAAAATATTCTCCATTTGTATTGCGTTCTTTGAAACTACTATTCCAGGATTTTTTTTTAAGTTTATATTTCTATATATTTTTCAAATATGATTGTGACTTCTTTCAAATATGTTATAGGATGTTTAATGGAACTGCATTAAAATTGTAATTGATATGATAAATATCTTGAGTCTGTTAATTTAACAGCATAGCATATCTCTCCCTTTACTTACATATTTGCGTTATCAGAAGTGTTTTCTGGTTTTCATATACAAGTGTTAACAGTATTTTTTAATGTACCCCTGAAACGTTATGTTTTTAACAGTACTTTACATAGCAAGTTGCTTCTAATTTCAATTTTTAATAGTTGTTTATATAGAAATGCATTCAGTATTATTTGTTGACATTTTATCCTGTGACCCTTATAAATTAATTAGGTCCATTTGATTTTTTGTAGAGTCCTTTATATTTTCTTTCCATGGACTACAGTCCATGGGGTCACAAAGAGTCAGACACAACTGAGAAACTTTCACTTTCATTTTCTACCTATACCATGATGATTCAGTTCAATTCAGCCACTCATTCGTGTCCGATTCTTTGAGACCCCATGAATTGCAGGACACCAGGCCTCCCAGTCCATCACAAACTCCCAGAGTTTACTCAAACATATGTCCATCGAGTCGGTGATGCCATCCAGCTATCTCATCTACTGTCATCCCCTTCTCCTCCTGCCCCCAAATCCCTCCCAGCATCAGGGTCTTTTCCAATGATTCAACTCTTTCCATGAGGTGGCCAAAGTATTGGAGTTTCAGCTTCAGCATCAGTCCTTCCAATGAACACCCAGGACTGATCTCCTTTAGGATGGACTGGTTGGATCTCCTTGCAGTCCAAGGGACTTTCAAGAGTCTTCTCCAACACCACAGTTCAAAAGCATCAATTTTTTGGCGCTTAGCTTTCTTCACAGTCCAACTTTCACATCCATACATGACCACTGGAAAACCATGATGATATTTGCTCATAAATATATTTTTGTAATCTTGTCACTTCTTTTCTCATCCATATGTCTTTTATTTATTTTTCTTAACTTGTTTCAATTGCTAGGTTACAATGCGGAACTGAAATTGAAAGTTAGAGACTTGTTTTCAATCTTAGAGAGATTTCATCATGAAGTATGATGGTAGCTATGAGTTTTATATAAATACTCTTTACAAGCTTGAGTAATTTGCTTTTTTAAAATTCATTTGACAAAATATAGTTTTCACTCAAGCCCTCCTTGATAGTTCACCAGTAAAGAAATTGCCTGCTATGCAGGAGATACTGGAGATGTTCATTTGAACCCTGGGTGGTGAAGATCCCCTGGAGGTGGGCATCACAACCCACTCTAGTATTTTTGCTGGGAAAATCCCATGAACAGAGGAGACTGGCAGGCTGTAGTCCATGATCTCGGAAAGAGTCAGACAAGACTAAAGCCACTGAAAATGCTCAAATGGGTTTTTGTTTATAAATCTAAATTGAAGTGTATCAATTTGTATGTATCTATTGAAATAGTCATGTGATTCTTCTGCTTTATCCTATAAACTTAGTATCATTGATCAATTATTAAATGTTACATAATATTTTATTCTTTATATAACCTATACATGGTCATGATGATTTGTTATGAAATACATTGATTGATTTCACATATATTTTTTAATATCTTGGTGCTTGTGTTCAAAAGAGATATGTATCTGTCATTTCCTTTCTTGTAATGTCACTCTGCTGGAGAAGGCAATGGCACCCCACTCCAGTGTTCTTGCCTGGAGGATCCCAGGGACGGGGGAGCCTGGTGAGCTGCCGTCTATGGGGTCGCACAGAGTAGGACATGACTGAAGCGATTTTGCAGCAGCAGCAGCAGCAATGTCACTTGGCATTTAGGCAGTCTTGGTTTTAGGTAATAATGATACTGTTCTCTGTTTATTTTCTGGATGAAAATATCTAAAAGGATATTTGGGTACTGGGTAATAATGTTACTTATGCCTTAGAGTTTAAATGGCCCATTGGTTTAACACTCTTAAAATAGTTAAATATATGTAATCAAAGTAGTATCACCCACTATTTTATGTTAAAATGAGCAGAGCTACTAATAAAAACATGGGAATTGAGTAGTGTATAATGAACATATGCATGTATATGCATATATATAGTCTTATATAAACAGGATATAGTCTAATATAAACAGATAACTAATATAGTCTAATAAAAACAGATATATAATAACTAATTATATAGTTATTAACTATAACTATAGCTGTTAACTATATAGTCTAATATAACAGATAACAGATATATATATATATATTATATATATATAATGAGCTATATAGTTATCTGGTGTAATTACATTACTTTTCTTTTGCACTGCCTGTCAGTATATCACAGCAGTGAAGAACATGGTCTGAGAGGCAGTTAGATTCTGATTACTGGTTCTCCAAGGTTTTTGTTTTGGATCATCCCCTTTTCTCTTTGTTTAGTCTCCTGTAAAATGGGGCTAATAGCAGCACTTACCTTTTTGCATAGCATTAGAGATTACTGCTAAATATCACTGAATGTTTTGTTTATTTAATTATGTTTGGATAAAAGCTTATAAATCTGTATACAGAGACAAAGTTAGTAAGACTAAGCTCCAATTTTGTAGAACTTTTGCCATAAGCTTCAAAGTCCCAGGTGAGATTCTTCTATTATTTCTTCCATCCATTTCTTCTTCTGTACTTGTAGAAGCTCTGATTTCTACTGTTTCTTTTTTTTTCTTCACCACTTAGGTTTTCCTTCCTCATAATATCCATTTTGATCTTTGCATCAGTTGAGTGAACATTGGGCTCCAAGCATATTTTATTTATCACTTAAATTCACTTTTCTACTAAATAATTTCCCAATTGCATTTTTCATCTGGTCATTTCTCAAGGTATAGATTAATGGATTTAACATGGGAGCTATGATGGTGTAGAATATAGCAACTCCTTTATCAATAGGAAAAGTAACCGCTGGTCTCATGTACACAAATATGCAGGGCGCAAAGAATAAGAGGATCACCGTGATGTGGGAGACACAGGTGGAGAGGGCTTTTTGCCTTGCCTCCAAGCTCCGTGTCCTTAAAGAGAGCAGAGAGACTGTATAGGAGCTAATCAACAGAAGGAAGATTAACAGACAGATGAACCCACTGTTGGCAGCAACAAAGAGCCCTAGAATGTGAGTATCAGTGCAGGCAAGTTCGAGCAAAGGGTTCAGATCACACATAAAGTGGTCTATGACATTAGGGCCATAGAAGGGTAACCTGAAAATGAAGAGGATCTGAATGGTTGAATGAAGAAAGCCTCCTGTCCATGCCACTCCCACTAGCAACCAACACATCTGCCAGGTCATGAGGGTTGTGTAGTGCAAGGCCTTGCAGATGGCCACATAGCAGTCGTAGGCCATTGTAGTCAGCAGAATGATGTCAGCACCTGCAAATAAATGCTCTCCAAAGATTTGGGTCATGCATTCATTGAAAGAGCTGGTTTTCTTTTCACGGAGCAAATCTACAATCAGTTTAGGGGTATTGACACAGGAATAGCAGACATCAATAAAAGAGAGATGAGCCAGGAAAAAGTACATGGGAGAACCCAATAAAGGACTGGTGGTGATGGTGACCAAGGTGAGCACATTTCCTACCACAGAGACAATGTAGACAACCAAAAACACTGCAAATACGACTTTCTGCATCTTTGGATTCTGTGTCAGCCCCAGGAGAATGAACTCTGTCACGTTGTTCCTGTTCTCCATGTATCTCATGTTATTGTTAACTGCATAACCTGGGGCAGGGGGAAAAAAAGATGTTGTTTTATTTCAACCTTGCGTTCATTAAACATCTCTGCCTAATAAATAACACATGCCTAGTTTCTTAGGACTTTTTTGTGATAAAAGATAATGTTCCAATCTGCTGAATATTGCTTATATATGACTGTAAGAATCTGAGAATATGAATGTGGTGAAGAAGAGGGTTTTGAGAGAAAATCTTGTATGTAGATCTAGTAAAGACTTTTGTGTACTAGGGTGGAGTGAGCTGAGTTTCCCTAAGGGGATGGAAGCCAGATGTAAGCCTGTTATGAGACTAGTTAATATTAACTCTGTCAGTGCACTGGTAATGAAAGAATAGTGAAATCCCGGAGCTTCTGTAATACAGTTGCCGAATAAATTGCCTAAGTCCAATAACTGTGTTGTAGCTAATAAAATTCTATAATGACTGATTTCCATGGGTGTTACATGAAAACAAACTGTAAATGGTATTGTTTTCTCAATTTGGCACATAATCTCAGAGACTAAAGCTAGCAGTAATATTAATGATAATATTGTGGGAGTGCAAGCATACTTAGTCATGTCTGACTCTTTGCAAACACATGAATTATAGTCACTAGGCTCCTCTGTCCATGGAATTTCCCAGGCAGGAATACTGAAGTGGGTTGCCATTTTCTCCTATGGGGTATCTACATGATTCAAGGATTGAACCCATGTATCCTGCATCTTTTACATTGGCAGGCAGACTTTTTACCATGGCACCACCTAGAAAGCCAGNTGGAATTTGCACATAATCTCAGAAACTAATGTTAATTAGTAATACTAATGATACTATTAACTAAATCTTAATTTAAATTAAAAATTCTCCAATAAAATTATTTAAAAAAACTTAATGAACACTTACTTTGTGGTTTTTTTTTCAGGCATTGGTTACTTAATCCTCATTAAAAATCTTTAGGATGTTTACTGCCATCATTTTTATACTTATTTTACATATCAGGAAGAGAAGAATAGAGAAATTAAGGATCCTGCCAAGATCAAGTAGCTAATAAAGTGCAAAGTCAAGATTAGATCAGATTGTATGTCTTCTTTGTCCTTCAAATTCTTACACACACCCTATAGTATGATTTATATAGTAAATAATGTTAAACCAGCAAACTCCTTTGATACGACCATAATAATAACAATAATTATTATAGTTACTTTAATTAATGTCTTTAGGTTCCTATCCCAAATAGAACAACTAATGAAAGACAGGTGTAAAATTACTTCAGATTATACTTTTTTTCCCCTTCCAAACTCTTAAAATGCATCCCTTATTGTTAAGTTGAATTAGAACTCTCCCTTTTGACATGACCTATAACCATAACAATTATAATTGCTTTGATAGTAGATCAGAGTCAAGAATATATGAAGCAATTGCATTGACAGTCACAAATACATACACACACAGACTCGGACACAACCACACACAGTGTAACATACTGGAATTCCCAAATGTTGAAAACTATGCTGTGCTGCTTTCATTGAAGGTCCATTTTATCTTTGTCTTTCTTTTACCCTCATTTCCTTCCTACCACAATTTCCATAGAAATCATACACTCACAAACTCTTCTACAAAATGCTGAAATAGTGATCCCAGTGGTTAAATATACTGACTTGAGAATCTAAAGACCATGTTAGAATATTGCCTTTTCTACTTGCAGCTTTTGATCCAGGGTACATTTCTTGTCAACTTACATCCATGTTTCCTCTAGTATCAAGTGGGAACATTATGTCTGTCATGAGAATTGATTGAGGAAACACATATGAGTATATCCATCAGACTGCTGTGAAAACGCAAAGCAACTTCAGTTTCTTTTATGGCTCTATATATAGCTAGAAGACAGGAAGAACTGACAACTTGAATAATAATACAGAGAAACTTTTAAATATGCAGTACACTGGGAAAAGCCAAAGGAACTCATATGCTCATACCAATTGATCCAAGACAGAATTATCCTTGTTCCTGCTTGGAATAAGGTGATTATTTTTATCTTCTAATATATTTATATATTTTGTGTATGAAATGTATCAAATTTTATTTTCATCCCTCAGAAATGGCTTTCATTATTAACATAAGTGTTTCCTGACAAAAAAGGAAAAAAAAAGAATAGTGATGGAGTGTTAGCTCACACAAATTTCTTAATCTCCAGCCTCAAATGTATCATCTATCAAATTAGGTTAATGTTATTTACCAGCTATCTTTTAAAGAAACATGTGAATTTGTAATGTTTTGTATCNATGGAAACAAACCTTCAGTCCAGATTCACCAAAAAGAGAAGGCAGAGAACACTAATAAGCAAAATAAGAAATTAGGGACTTCCCTGGTGGTCCCGTTGTTAAGAATCCACCTGCCACTGCAGGGAAGGCAGGTCTGACCCCTGATAAAGATACTAAGAGCCCACACGCCATGGAGGGACTAACAGGCCACAGCTAGAGAACTCATGTGCTCTAGAGTCCACAGGTGCTGAGCCTAGAGACTGCACGCTCTGGAGTCCTATCTCCCTAGAGTGCATGTTCCTCAGTAAGAAATATGCATGCACCAAAGCCCACTCACACAGTGAGAAGCCCTTGTGATGAAATAGAGACAGGCCACAAGCCACACAGAAGGGCAAACCACAGACCAAGAAAAAATAGTAATAAAAATAAATGAATGAAGAGAAACAACAACCAATACCACAGAAATAAAACAGGAAAACAGTATACAAAAAGCATAAAATAATATTATGAACAACGATAAATGAGTAAATTGGAAAAACTTGAAAACATGGGCACACATCTAGAAAGTATTGACTTTAGATAGAGAAACACTTTCCATAAGTATTGCGTTCTTTGAACCTACGCTTCCAGGATTTTTTTAAGTTTATATTTCTGTATATTTTTTCAAATATGATTGTGACTCCTTTCAAATACGTCATAGAATGTTTAATGCAACTGCATTAAAATTGCAATTGATATATTAAATATCTTGAGTCTGTTAATTTATCAGCATAGCATATCTCTCCCTTTACTTACATATTTGCTTTATCAGAAGTATTTTCTGGTTTTCACATACAAGCGTTAACTGTATTTTCTAATGTACCCATGAAATGTTATGTTTTTAACAGTACTTTACATAGAAAGTTGCTTCTAATTTCAATTTTTAATAGTTGTTCATATAGAAATGCATTCCGTATTTTGTGTTGACATTTTATCCTGTGACCCTTATAAACTAACTAACTAGATCCATTTGATGTTTGGTAGAGTCCTTTATATTTTCTTCCCATGGACTACAGTCCGTGGGGTCACAAAGAGTCAGACACAACTGAGCAGCTTTCACTTTCATTTTCTACCTATACCATGATGATTCAGTTCAGTTCAGTCACTCGGTTGTGTCCGACTCTTTGAGACCCCATGAATCGCAGCACGCCAGGCCTCCCTGTCCATCACCAACTCCCGGAGTTTACCCACACTGATGTCCATCGAGTCATGATGCCATCCAGCCATCTCATCCTCTGTCGTTCCCTTCTCCTCCTGACCAAAATTCCTCCCAGCATCAGGGTCTTTTCCAATGAGTCAACTCTTTGCATGAGGTTGTCAAAGGATTGGAGTTTCAGCTTCAGCATCAGTCCTTCCAATGAACACCCAGGACTGATCTCCTTTAGGATGGACTGGTTAGATCTCCTTGCAGTTAAAGGGACTCTCGAGTCTTCTCCAACACCACAGTTCAAAAGCATCAATTCCTCTGTGCTCAACTTTCTTCACAGTCCAACTCTCACATCCATACATGACCACTGGAAAACCATGATGATATTTGCCCACAAATACATTTTTGTAATCTTGTCACTTCTTTTCTCATCCATATGTCTTTTATTTCTTTTTCTTAACTTGTTTCAATTAACTAGGTTACAATGCAGAACTGAAATTGCAAGTTAAAGACTTGTTTTCAATCTTAGAGAGATTCCATCATGAAGTCTGATGTTAACTGTGAGTTTTATATAAATGCTCTTTATAAGCTTGAGTAATTTGCTTTTTGAAAATTCATTTGACAAAATAAAGCTTTCATTCAAACCCTCCTTGATAGCTCACCAGTAAAGAAATTTCCTGCTATGCAGGAGGTACTGGAGAATTTCGTTTGAACCCTGGGTGGGGAAGATACCCCGGAGGAGAACATCGCAATCCACTTCAGTATTTTTGCTGGGAAATTCCCATGAACAAGAGAGATGGGCAAGCTACAGTCCATGATATCAGAAAGAGTCAGACAAGACTAAAATCACTGAAAATGCTCAAATGGATTTTTATTTATAAATCTAAATTGAAATGTATCAGTTTGCATGTATCTATTGAAATAGTCATGTGATTCTTCTCCTTTATCCTATAAACTTAGTATCATTGATTAATTATTGAATGTTACATAATATTTTATTCTTTGTGTAACCTAAACACGGTCATGATGATTTGTTAGGAAATACATTGATTGATTTCACATATATTGCTTAGTATCTTGGTGCATATGTTCAAAAGTGATATGTATCTGTCATTTCCTTTCTTATCATGTCACTTGGCTGGAGAAGGCAATGGCACCCCACTCCAGTGCTCTTGCCTGGAGGATCCCAGGGACGGGGGAGCCTGGTGGGCTGCCATCTATGGGGTCACACAGAGTAGGACATGACTGAAGCGATTTAGCAGCAGCAACAGTAATGTCACTAGGCCCTTAGGCAGTCTTGGTCTTAGGTAATAATGATACTGTTCTCTGTTCTTTATTTTCTGAATGAAAATATCTAAAAGGTTATTTGGGTATTCGGTAATAATGTTATTTATGCCTTAGAGTTTAAATGGCCCATTGGTCTAACACTCCTAAAATAGTTAAATATATGTAGTCAAAGTAATATCACCCACTAAGATATGTCAAAATGAGCAGAGCTACTAATAAAAACCTGGGAATTGAGTGGGGCATAATGAACATA